TGGAAGGCCTGAGGCGCCTGACGTTGAGGTTGCTTCTTACTGGTGGAAGACTGGGAGTGAGAATTTCTGAGATTCTGGTGTGGTGAGTCCTTAGCTGTAGAGATGGATGGTTGTTGTTGGATGACGAGGGAAGGTGAAGTCGGCAATGCTGGGAAAATATCCTGATTTTCAATTTCAGGTGGTTCAGTGTAAGTTTTCTGAGCAGATCCAAGATTTTTCACCGCTGAGTTTCGTGATCTTTGTTTGTAAAGATTTTTATATACTTCACATCCTCTGTAGCTCGCAGGATGGGCTTCGCCACAAAGGGCACACATCGCAGGCTCATCTCTTGGCTTCTGGCAAGTGTCTGAAGCGTGTAGGCCGGCACATTTAACGCACCTGACTTCGTGATAACAATAGGCTTTTGTATGGCCCAAGTTTTGACACTTAGTGCACTGTACAATTAGAGGCTTCTGTTTCGGTTCCTCAAAACGGACAATTGAGTAAACCAATCGTTGAACCTGGAATATTTCAACATTGGTTTTTGCTGGTTCCAGGTCTATAAAAAATAATGGTAGCGGATATCTTTCTCTAGGATGTAGTACAGGTGCTATGTGCCTGACATTATGACCGATTTCTTCGAGGCCCGATTTGATAGCAGATATGGGTGTGGTTGAATGTAGTCCTCTCAGGACCACTCGATACGCCTTTTCTTGTTTTAATTGGTAACAGTGGAAGTCGTAGTTATTGGTTGTTAAGAAATTGATTAGTTTTTTATAATTGTCTCTTGAATTAGTATTAATTTTGATGTCGTTCACTCTCGAGTAACATCGAAAATTTGGCTGTCCGATCAAATCTGCAATTTGTTGACCAAACGACATAAAGTTCTTAATTTTTGAAACAAATATTGGCGGCGGCTCAGGATCAGAAAAATCTTGAAGCTGCGGAGTCTTGTGAGATAGGTTGTTTTCTTGAATTGAATTTTTGCTTTCTGATGTTTTTGGTGCAGTTGGCTCTGATTGAGTGGCATTAGATTTGCTCCTAGTTCTCGGTGGAGATTTATCTTGTTCTGGTTGCTTATTTGATTTATTTTTCTTTTTTTTTTTATTAGGTGAGTTTTGTCCCGATCCGGGAACTGAGTTTCGGAGACGCTTTTGGAGTGTACGCCTTTTCAAATATTGCGAGTCGGTCTCGCTAATTTCCGAAAAGGGTGTCTCATCCTCCGTGTCTTCACATGATGTGTTCTTATCCAGATCCATCATGATAAGTGTTAGAGAAAATTAAGAAAAAGAAAAAAAAAATATGTATATATATATAAACCTAAATATTAAAATTAAAATTTATGAGGTAACTTCTTAAACACTAAGCTATTTACAAAATTATTTACATAAATATATACAGATATAAAATAAAATATAAAATAATTCATTTCCAAAAAAAAAATAATCAAAGAAAAAAATGAAATAAAAGAGTCTCTGGAAAGAAAAAAAAAATATATATATATAAAGAAAAAAAAAATGAAGTTAAATGTCTTGGATTCGAACTGAGAATAACACTGAAGAATGTTATTGTACACAGTGCCGAGCCTTAGCTTGAACTTATCGCAGATAAGGTAAAACCCGCAAGGGAATTACTAGCCACATGGGCTAACCAAACGAGCACTAATTTATAACTGTTTCATTGTTAATAAATAGTCACTCACCTGATCATATGTGAATATAAAAATATAAAACTATTAATATAGTCACTGTTGAAAAAGTCTTAGAGCAGTATTTTAAATAATAAGCACATTAGATCGTATCAAAGGCAGAGCGATGTGTAACTTGAATTGCACTAGCGGCCATGACACTTGCTACTTATAGATAAACTAAATATAAAATTAAGCATAATACTAGGTAAACATGCTACAGTATTTCAAGTAGGTGTTTGCTATATTTTCTGAAACTTGTTTAGAAGTTATCAATTGCGAGAATGCTGGATCGATATCTATTCGGATAGTCTGTTTGCACTACAAGCATTGGAGTCTCCCAAAGTGACCTCAACACTAATGCAGGAGTGTAAACAGGCGTTGGAGACAATGGCCTGCTCCAAGAGGGTGGAACTAGTGTGGGTCCCTGGTCACAAGGGAGCTAAAGGCAATGAAAAAGCCGATGTCTTTGCAAGGAAAGGGGCGGAATTTCCTACTGTAGATTCGGAGCCTGCAATAGGAATATCCAAAAAGCATCATAGGAAAGACGTCCTTGATTGGATTGAAAAAATAGGTAAAGAATGGACGGTATACACGAGGCTAAGTCAACCGAAGCAATTTATTAAAAGCCCCTCTCACTCCAAAACAAAGTGGCTGCTGCGCCTATCTAGGGAAAGAAATCCGACTCATCATCGGAGTATTAACAGGCCACTGTTTATTTCTTATCATTAGGCAGACTTCAAAGACATTAAAACATCTGTGGGATTGTGCATGATGAACTCTGCAATCTCTGCAGAAGTGCACCTGAAACTGCCCTTCACTTCATAAATGAATGTGACCGATTTGCGTCACTCAGATAAAGACATCTGGGAGCAGACAGGATCTAAGTATGCAAAGCTGCTTCCGTAAAATGGCCCAACCTTTTGAACTTCATTAGAAGAATAAAAAGGTTTGAGAGAGAATAGAGGTACAATAGACAACCACTGGTAGTATCAATTTTTGGGGTTAGCAAAAAGGATCAATAGGCCCACTTGCTGGACTAGGTCCCCCAACCAGTACCAGTACCAGTACCGATGACTATTAAATTTCTATTTTAGATCTTTTGAATTACACGAACGTGGTCGCAGTAGAATTATTCCACTTCCATGACTCATGAGTCCTCAGTTGGTGCATGGACCTTGTCCAGAGTAACTTTTCTACCGAACAGTCCTGCTCCCTCCTTTGATCGTTTACCTGGCCTTGTCTGCAATAGATCAAAGTATATCGTTTAGCTACATTTCGACAGAATCCTTATTTCTGACTTCGTATACTCATAGGAGGTCAATTTTGGAGGATTTCATCTCCTCCACAATCTCCACTTGATTTCCATAGGAAGTGCCTATGTTCCATGTACCAAATCTAATATCCTTCAACTGTTCATTTCCGAGGCTATTCCTAGAAATTCTTTGAATAGTTTGTATTTCACTGCCCAACAGAGGAGGCCCTGTTGCCTCGGGACAAGTAGTTGCCATTTATACTCAATGTTTTCAGTCTTCTCAGGAGAGGTGATGCTGAGTTGTCTACTATAAATCTCCTCATTGTCATTGTATATGTATAGTGTACTGTTCTTCTGTGTGAAAGTGTGCTGTGTACTGACCTCAGGAAACCGGCGAATTGCTAATCCCCACTAGTAGACCATAGCTAGCCCTTTCGAGGGCTAGACCACAGCAAAACAAATTCATACGTATTTATAATATAGTTAAGGGATCCCTGCCCTTCTCTCTCAACCGCGTCACCGGAACGGGAGTCCTGTAGAGAATGAGAGAGGGCACTAAAGCCACAGACACTCATGTCATGACATGAGTGGAGAAGCTGGCCATCTGATATTTTTTTTTAATAATTAGGTATCAACGTCAGTTTATTCCGAAAAACCGTCATGTAGCCTTTAAAAAAATAAATTAGTTAATAATTTATTTGTGAAATCCAAACATTATCCGCTTAAAATTAGTGCAAAAACGTTTAGCCTATCTATGGCAAGCAATGAAAATCTCGTAATTTCTCGTATTAAACTTTACAATGGAAAATAACAATTTAATAAGTTATAGGACTCTACTTAGACAAAAGACTTACTTGGAACATACATACGAAATTAAAAAGACAAGAACTTACCAGACGATATAGCCAACTTTCACATCTTCTGGATTACAGATCTTCACTTAACTTACGGAACAAGCGACTTATCTACAACACCTTACTGAGACCAATATGGACATATGGAGCAGAACTTTGGGGTTCAGCAAAACAAACACACGTAAACAAAATACAAACAGCATAATCAAAAATTTTACGATAAATTTTTAACGCACCTTGGTAAATTTCAAACAATACTATACATAACGACTTAGACACCCCAACAGTAGAATCCTACATCCACGACAAATACACTACATTTCATTCTTCAACCCAAAATCACTCCAATCCTCTGGTTCTTTCTATCTCCTGCTCCCTGTTACCTGAGCAACGAAGATTAAGAAGAAAATGGCCAAGAGACCTAATACATCAATAAAAAAATCAAGCAATTACACCAAGGCAATAAAAATACAACAAATTTGCTAGATGCGGAGCTGCGCAGGTGCCAATTGCATAAAATAAAATATAAATCAATAAGTTATAGGCGTACTATCTATTATCATTTATTTATAGGTTAAATATAGAGAAAAAGATATACTTTCAAATCTCTCTAGACATATATATAGCTCCGAGATTGGAGTTTGGTGGTTTACCATTGATATAATCTACCATTGACATAATTAATAGAGTTTTTGTTATTTTAGTGTTCTTAATGACTTTTAGCTGTAAGTTTCAAGCTATAGCTCCGTTATAAGTGCACTTTAATTTTTTAATAATTGCTCAACATTGCCAGAATACAATTTCTATTCAAAGTAGAGAGGTAAGTGAAAGTTGCGTGTTTCATCCACCAGATTTTTCTTATTTATAGACGATATCGTACTTATTTCGAGATCTCCAGAGCTACTTCAACGAACAGCGAAAGGAAATGACTATTAATTCCAACAAAAAAAATTCCTTAAACTTGGTAGATACCAAGAATGAGAGTTGATGGATGTGGTGACACATATGTTGGGCACGGTGATGAGTAGTTCTGGTGAAGTATCTTCTGAAATATCTTGCAGAATCTCCTAGGAAAAATCCGTTTACTTCAAGATCTGTAACTCGGTTACCGGGAAAAATATAAAGCTGGACTTATTCAAGTCTGCCTTTTTACCAGCACTTCTCTATGAAGCCGATTATTAGCAACCAGTGCATATTATTATGAATGAATGACAGATAATTATGAATGAGGATCAAGAGAGCAGAACGGAACACTGGAGAAAAGTCTACTGAGGAGGTATGCCCGCCGCATGGACCACCACAGAAACTCGATCAAAACTATCAAGATGAGACCGTTAGAAAAAAGACTGAGAGGACGACCAAGAACCTCGTATATCACCCACATGGAACGAATAGGAAGGCGCAGAGAGTTTTTTGTAGGAGAAAATATGCTAGTACAGGGTTTTCGTGGTAAATTCTCGGGTGGTATATATAGCGTGAATATATTGAAAAGTTGAGTTCCCATTACACCGCTTTGTGAAAATCCTAATTTAATACTTTCATACTATATAATTTGTTTTCTATATTTATAGAAAATTTTTGTGTGTAAAAAACAGTTCTATATGCCATATCTTTCCAAAACCTCGATTGATGTCAATAGAAACGATAGCATGATTTTTATCATCTGAAGACTGGAAATGTATTCTACCAATACGTGACGTATGCTTCAGTGAAATATTATGAAGCGAAAAGGACGATTTAAATATCTTTCAACGTTCCAAGAGAATTTAGACAATGAAGATTTGTTTGATATAATTTGTAAAATATAGAAAGAAGGGTAATTGAATGATATGAAATTAGTTAATCTGAAGGTTTATTGGTTCTTAATTTCATATCAACCACAAGGAAATTTAAATTTTTTTTCTTATATTTATTACAGTATTGATGAATCGCCATTCTTTTTTTTTCAGGCCAAAAGTTTTGACAGAGCATTGTCCAGATTAGTGTTAAATGACAGTACAGAAAAATTGTTGCAAAACGTAAGTATGTAAAGAAATTATACAATTGTAACACTATGATTACTTTTTTAATCGAAAATGAGATAATCACTTACAAATTTCTTCCTAATTCGAGGTTACTGCAACCGTTAATGAGTTAAATTATTCCTCTTCCAAGCCATGTCATCAACTTTTAGATTTTAGGCTTTCATAAGGAATACATTAAGAATAAATCTTTAAACGTTTTTATTTGAGTTCTAATTTCTGTCATGAGTTCTAAATTGTTTACGGTAGTCTGGTTTGTGCTATTTCGTATAATTTATAAGGCTCTAAATCCCTGCCTATCTTCGAGTAAATAGGCGGAGTAATATTCAGTATTCACAATTTTAGTTATTTCCGAAAATAAACAGCAAAAAAAAAGCCAATTTGAAAGACACATAACACATTAGTTATAATTTGAAAACTTTTTTTTATGAAACTTAAAATTCAGTTCAATAAATGTTTCAAGTGCAAGCAAAATGCAGAATGTGGAGGAAAATGGTGGGAGAATCTTGCAAGTTTGCACCGAGCCCAGCTTACCTAGCACACTCCTGTTTTGGTATAATTATTTTAATTTAAATTAAATCTTATTTGATCTTTTTTACAGAAGAGAATAATCTACCACTTCAAAGCGAAACATAAAGTAGAGTTTTCAGCAATGGGATTCTTCAACTATGATTATGCTTTGCTCTGTAGAGTGAGTAATTTACAAATTATATATATTTAAACTGTTCATACAATGATATATATATATATATATATATATATATATATATATATATATATATATCATTGACCAAACCTCTGGGAAGAAACAGACATGCTGAAAAGCCACATCATGATTCCCAATTAACTTACACTCTGGCTTCACTCCCAGTAGGCTGCCGGGTCTCACGTAGCGATCTCGGGCAGTATAGCTATCCCCCTCGATGGTCACCAATCCAAGTAGCTATCAAGCTTGGCATTGCTTAACTTTGATTATCTATTGCAAGCGCTTTTAGCTCGTTCGGCCAATCTTGCTCCTATATAACTTTATTAACTGGGACAATATCCAATTACAATAACTGCACAGTTGTTCACAGGAAAATATAGATTATTTCTGACCATATTTAAATAACAAAGAATAAGAAATTTAAGTTTTAATTCAAAGACAAATCAAATCAGATAATAAGAACGAAATCTTGTTACTTAAATACACGGCCATCCAGTTTCTGACTATTTTGTGAAGAAGTAATGGAACAAGAAGGTTCTAAATGTGAATATGGAAGTGAAAAGTCGGATCAGAAGTGGAGGGGAATTCAAGAATGTGGTGGAGTGCTCAACAAAAGAGTGTTGAAATGATGAAGAAAAGAAATATATATATGTTTACAAAACTACAATCAGATGTCTTTATTGGTCATATGGTATGAGAAAATTACACGAGAACAATTTATACAGAAAACATATGTTTATCTTTATATTATCAACATATTATTATTTAAAATTTCTCAAATATTAGCATATATATATATATATTGATAAATTATTCGACGACAAAATTCTAAAATGAGTAAGAGAAACATCTTACAAAAAGATAATTATAAGGTTCATAGAAAGTGTGTATTACGTGCTAAAAAGAAGATTGAAACAGATCCTCCTATACTGAAGACTGAATTTTATATTTCATACGGAAAGTTGATTTCGGCACTATTATGGTTAAAAAATATAGAAGAGACTAACAGGAATCTGGTCACCAAGATCAACTTAATCAACAGGACTAGAGGCCGTGTTGACTGCCACCAGAAGCCATGCACTATAGAAAGCAACTACAGAAATATACTAATGAAAAAGTTAGCAATCGAAAAAGTAAACAGAGATATCTACCGAGCAATTAGAACAGTTACTTCTAAGTACTTAAAGAAATCACACATGGACAGTTACCATGAGGAGAAAAAGCGTCTCTTGTTCATTTCGAAACATCCTGAAATTTATAAGAATGAACTGTATGGCCATGTCGGTAGGTGGAACATATTGCCAGATGAAAATAATCCTGAAATGGCGAGATGTAATCCACAAAAGCGGATTAGATGTTTTTTAGATTTTGAAATAATAAACGAACGAAAGCTTGGTAGGATGTACATAGAAATATATAACGATTTTGTACCTATCGCTGGTGAAAATTTTTTGAGATTCGTTCGTGGTGAAAAAGGGAAAGGCTACAAGAATACGCAGCTGTACGTGATCATGCCAGGGATCGGTTTGCTGGGCGGGGACGTCGACAACGCTTTTGGGGCCAGCCCTAGGTCCGCCTACGGCAAGCCATTCGCCAGCGAAAATCATTTGCTACGTTTCAGCGGTCCGGGAGTGATCGCGTCGTTTACGCTTCATCCTAATATTAACTTCTGCCAGTTTTTTATATCATTTCAGGGATTGCCATTCTTAAAAGACCAATACGTTGTCATCGGAAGAGTGATAAAGAATCTGAGGACTTTACAAATGATAGAAGAATTTGGCACCAAGACGGGAACTCCTCGGAAACCAATTACAATAACGAATTGCGGCATATTTGCGAAGAAATAAAAAATGAATAAGATTTTAATACACGTTTTAAATCCCATTTTCATCGTAAATATTAGTATATGCTGAAAGTTTAGCAGATGAATACTATAGGCCGCACACCGGTTTGCTGTAAAACACGCGGTGCCCAGAAATCCGATAAGTTTATAAAATAAAATAATTACGAGTTCGCATCTCGGTGTCGATGGGGCTTTTAACTCTGGCATTAATCTCTTCCTCCCCTCACCCCTGACCCTGGAAAAAAACCGTAAAGCCTAAAAGGCGAGGAAGTGACGTGAAAAAAAAATAAAGATATTTTTTTCGAAAATTCATTTTCATTATAACATTTTTTTTTCTCCTTCAGTGAATAATCAAAATATTTCATAGTTTGTATTTAGCCTTTTTTTAAATAATTACTAGCAATCAGAGACAGTTAATTATTTAAAATTAACCAAATTGAAGGTACATCAAAGGCAGTAATTTTAAACATGGGCATTTAAGCCCTCTTAGGCGGTATAAATGAGAATAATAACTAGCCCATATTAAAGTCAATTTAATTGTACATTGATGTCAAATTGTACGATATCGTAATCGTGAAAATGTGTAAAGCTAATCGGAAATACCATCAAATATTTACGAATATTAAGTGATACTTCCGGTTAGCGGTTTTTAAGGAAAAAGTTGCTGTAAAATCCCAATCTACTACTTCGCTGGTACTGTCCATTGTGCAGACTGCTAGCAGTTCATCACTGCTTTAGTGGAATAAAAAGGAGCATATTTCGCTACCGTGTGCAACAACAGCATCTTTTATATTCCACTAAAACAGTGCTTAATTGCTAGTAATTTCAATTTCATGGTTGAGCTAGAATCTTCTCAAACACACTCCCAGACCATCTTGTGGGACTTAGTTATTTGGACTTAGGAGACGTAAAAACATCCATTTCCATTGATAACACAAATATTTCACGATCGCAATGTTTTCCTTATTATAAGTTACATATATAGGTAAGTGAAATAAATAAAGGGTAAGTGAAAGTATATATTACAAATATACACCATATATTATATATAACATCACATCTATGCCGATGATTTCCAAATATAACTGTCCTTTCCCCTTCTAATGTATTATCCGCCAAACAAAACTCCAAGAGGACCTAAATAAAATCTGTGACTGGGCGGAAGCTAACAAGTTGAATGCGGATGTCGAACTATTGTATATTGTATTCAGAATGCCTTGACAGAGCGTGATCAGTTTAGGGTAATATGACTTAGTAGATGAAGGAAGAGGCTTAAACAGGATGACCCTCAAGTGACTGACGGATGAGCACCCAAATCAATCTTGGCCTGCGGGGTAAGGGACGAAACTTCACACTCCGCAACAACGGAAACCACAAGCGGAGGGTTCAATCTCCTGACTTCTAATATAGGAGTACAAGCGGAAGGATCAGCATCTATACCTTGAATGGAGAGTGAATATAATGGAGAGTGCGTATATAGAATATACTTGTTTTTTTTCCGATCCTTCTGAAACAAAACAAAGCATGAAATCAGTGTCATACCGGACCAATGACACTGATCCGCACTAGCGGAACGATACTCTGAATTACCTTGACCTTTTTCTACTTGTGGTATTTGAAGGAGCGTTGTATGGTTTATGATTTATGATTGCGAACACCTTACGGAAATTCTGAGGATTGCCATTCCGCCATGACTAAATTGGTTAGCAAGAGCCGTTGCAGTTACTTCTATTTAAAACCTTTGATCAGTATACCGTATCGCCATTAAACTTTATTAATAAATAGTATTTACAATGTAGATACATATTTCAAATTTTAATGTGAGTATTTTACAATATAATAATGAGAAAATATTATACAATTTTTGATACCATGAATGAGCGCGCAGGTGTGGCGCAGCCTGGCGGATAACTAGTTGTCCGTAGTGGACTTGATAGCAGGCAGGAACAAATTGCCACAAGAAGAAGAACGAGGAAAGACATTTTGATAGGCCTCTATTTACTCCCTTAAAACTATTCCTAAAATTCTAACCCTGTCTCTAAATGATAATCCTATCAAATTTTATCCCACCTTTAGGAACCGTGGAATAACCTTTGATCAAACCCTTTCCTGGAAAGACCATGTATCTCCTCCCCCTCCCTCCCCCCATGCCTTTTCCACTTTAAAACGTCTAAATTACTTCCGCCATTTGTTTCATTATGAAACCCGTAAACTCCTGATAACTTCCTTGATATTTCCCGAATTCGACCATTACAGTACGGTTCGTGGAATCTCTAGGTCTCTAGTCTCTAGGGATCTCGAAGCGAAACTAAAACGTTTGATAAATTGCTGTGTATGATTCATCTTCGGTATCCCAAGAGACGCCTCTGTTTCCCGTTTTTATAAAGAGCTGAATCGGCTTTATCCTTCCTAGCATCCTTTTTCTTCTAAATCATCCAATTCCGCTGTCCTTCATACATCTCCGAGCTCCTTCAATTCAAATCCTCCGTCTAATCCCGCAAAACCCGTTACCGGACTTCAGTTTTATACACAAGAGCCCGCCCAACCGCTGCTTTCGACGGACATTTCATCATCACATCCTCATCCCTATGGAATTCTATCTCTTCCTACATCCGTCACTCCAATACCCTCCCTACATTTAAATCCCGTCTTTTCGATCACCTCTTATCCGTTCAATACCCATAAAATTGTAAACATATGTTGTAAATATGTATATAAATTATTAACAGTTGGTTTTGAATATTTTTATTTTACTTTTTTTTTCTTAATTGATAGATAAGTTAGAAGATAACTTATATTTTATTATGTCTATTTGTTTTTATTTGTTATGATTATTCTATAAGGCTACAAAGCCCACATTTCTAGCTTTGTATATTATTTTAAAGGGATCTGTCTCAGTATTGATAAATAAATAAATAAATATATATATATATATATATATATATATATATATATATTATATATATATATATATATATATATATGTATATATATATATATAATTAATTAAATAAATATATAAATATAATATATAAATAAATACATAATTAAAAACTGAAGTATTATTATTATTATTATATATGTATTAAAACATAAATGTAACTTCCAATGCTTATCATTTACCGACATGAAGTTGAAACTATTTTATTTACTTTAAATAGCATTCATATAACATTATATAATAATTATATCTTATTAAAGTAATATATTAATTTTCTTTTGCAGATGGTATCCACAGCAACCACTTACATAGTGATAATGATTCAGTTTGCACCTTGATCTTCAATAAATTAATTTTGAGGATTTTCTTTTGCTGAGTGAATTACTGTTTACAGTCACTATGTCACTATATTTATTTTTATCTTATCTGTACAGTTTGTGCATTGTGTTATATCTTATTTGCTATGTAGAAAAAAATAAATATAAAAAAATAAGTAACTAGAGTGGATTTTTTTTCTAAAAATTATTATTATAATAAAAAAAAATAATCTCTTTTCGAAACGAAATATTTTTTTTTTTTTACTTGCCTAAGAAATGTTTTTACAAGAATATATAAATGTGTTTGTTTATTAATCAGTCTAACGCATATTCAAATCGGCAGATTTATTTAATTAATACAACTTAATTATAGAAATTTTCCCAAATACATTTAGCTGAACAGAACTCCATAAAAACTTTTGATTCAACTAAAAGAAATATTAAAAATTAGGAAATAAAGTTGAGCTGATATGTCATTTACATCATTAAACCTAGATTGAATTAGATTAATATAAAAATACCCTGCCATTATGAAATCACAATGCTGTTATAGCCCTCACTGAATAAACAGTAGTTAATTTGAGTGTTACTTGAGAGACTCATATACGGGTACACCATCCTTAGAGAGTCAAGTCCTCTCTCAAATCTACTTCAAGACAGGTGACTTCCCAACCTGGTCATATTCTCGTTTATTCTATCATGAGATTGTTAGAATGTGTCTTATGCGTCTTCCCTCAGAGGAGGTTTAACCTCAGTCTTTGCTGCAGCATTCGTCTTTTACGGATTATGTTTGTTTTTCATTGCGAATAACCGAAACGAAGTTTTCAAATCAAATTCAAAGTAAAAGTCAAATTCTACAACAACAACAAAAAAAAATGTTTTTCAGCGTTGATGTAAAGTGACACTTAAGGAAAAGCGACATCTGAGGCATATACCTATCTTAAATACATAATATCAGTTTCGCACGACTTTTCGTTTTCGAGCTAGAGTGTTCATATACACACAGACACATAGATACACAGATCATTTTTCGGGACTTGGTCATTTGGACTCAGGGTACCCCAAACTTTTTTTTCCGTTAAAAAGTCAGATTCAGAAATTTTCACCATCGCAATAGTTACCCTTACTATATATTACATATATACGTAAGTGAAAGTAATAATAAACCAAAAATATTTTAAAATCGCGATATCTCTAGTAATGGTGCTTTGATTTCGATGAAACTTATTTCATTTTTTAGGAAATTTAAATACCTTTGAATCATTTTATCACAATATCCACAAAAATGTGTATACTTTTTGAGTTATTCGGAATTTAGTTTTACCATCACTCTTAACTTTTTTTCCAGCTTCTTTTCGTTGAAGTATGTTATATAGATAAATTTAAAGGGTGTCGAGAAAATGACTTTAACAAAGTTTTCATTGAAATCGGTGCATTCGTTTAGGAGCTACAGTCTATATTTTCTGCATTTTTATTTTTTTCTGCTTTATTAACTTATCAAAATTTATATTTAGCACTTTTTCATAACTCTGAATAATGTGAAATGATTAACTTTTTAAAATAAACCATATTAAAGGTGCTTTAAAGGAAGACGTGTATGAACATAGGGCATTTAAGCCCTGTAATGTGGCATCAAAGGGGATAAAGCCTAAATGATATTAAAGACCACTTAATTATACGATGATATACCGAGTTTAATCAAAATCGTTAGAGCCGTTTTTGAGATAATTGTAAAAATGTGTTTCA